GGTGGGGGTGGGGGCAGTTCAGGTGGGTTTGAATGGGGAGTTTCCTTGAGGTCAGGTCTTGTCCCTTTTTAAGGGGAAATAATTGTATTTCTGCTACTTGAATAATGCAGTCAGTCCCTTCACAAAACCCTGGACCGAAGCTGGAATTTGATGTTTAACAAAACACCAAATCAAGGATCATCATGATATTTATAAACCCCCAGTGTCACTAAAATTCAAATATAAAATTAGTTTGAATAAGGTTATCATATGACCTTCCCATATCCTACCCTATACCAATCAGAGACCTACATATCAGCCCAAGGGACAGGAGGCCCGTGATTATCATATCCTCTCCATCATATACAAGCAGCTGTAAAGATTTCAGTACAACACCAAAGTTATCAGAAATAATACAAAATGATCACTGAAAGAAAGCGTGAATGGGGGACGCATTTTTTTTTTAAATGTGTCAAAAGGAAGCAAAACGGATGTGGTGCGTGGACCAGCAGGGCGATATGGCACGTGCTGGGCTGATATATATGATATAACAAGTGCTAGGCAGATATGGGTCAGTCTAGGTGAAAGCCTATATGTCGGCTAGCAGTGATGCACACGCAACTCAGCCCATATCACAGACAAGTATATGATAATCGTGATTATCCTCAGTGTACTTGACTGTTTACATATCATCAAAGGTTTTCAAATGATCATACTTTTTCATACTTGTTATTAAAAGTACTGAAACATAACACTTTGTTAAGTCCTTCTATTGTCAGCAGAATTTATATGCCAACTGCCGATTTCAAAATCATCAAACAACATCATAAATTGATTGTTTCACATTCAAGTACCAGTTTGACATTTTTTTGAGTAATTGTTCTTACTGAACACAGCCTTGTCACAGTCTGGGGGTGGCAGAGACACAAGGGTGGGGGGTGATATCTGACCACGGTCAAGCTTATGATTACAGACTTCTGGTATTTGGTGCATGCCAATCTCTTCACTGGTCAATTTACCACCCACAACCATCTGCGATACTTAGTTCAGTCATAAACACCCACTTCTGGTGTGATCAAGTTCATCTCTCAGTTGACAATAACAATTTACTTTCATTATTTAATATCTGAAACCAATCACTGCTTTACAACTGTTGTCAACGTGCTCATTTTAAGGAGTGGTTGAAGACAACTTTTATCTCTCCATCTTTCCTCATATTACACCTGGAAAGGAGATTGAACAGGTCTAATGTGTCAGACTTCCTGTGATAAAAGTCAATGTCCTAAAGAAACAAATCTCCCTCGTCTCCCAAATAACCTACGGAAATGGTCAGCATTCAGTGTTGTCTGGAATAAGATCAACATTCAGTGTTGTCTGGAATAAGATCAACATTCAGTGTTGTCTGGAATAAGATAAACATTCAGTGTTGTCTGGAATAAGATCAACATTCAGAAGTGTCTGTAAATAGGGTCACCATTCTACAGTCCCACATAAACAGGGTCCACTTCTATAGTTTGTATTATTGGTCTGTAATTGGTAAACATTCTATAGAATTACTGCTGAATGTAGTACATACAGAGTAATAGAGACAGCATTGTTTCAATGGTTACAAAAAAAAATCCTCTACATCATAATGGTTTCTGAGTAGGGATGAGTGTCCAGAAAAGTAGTAAGTTTGTACTGTGTGTTACAGCGAACAACACAGGCATACACATACACTACAATCATAGGCTGTAAATACTGTACATTTTATCATGCATTGTATCTTGACCATGTGTAAGATGAGCTTCATGCTCAATATGTTACCAAGAATAAATAAAGCCTTTATTATTGTAGTCACCAGTAAGAATATTGTATACACAGACATTGTAATAACAATCACTTGTAAACAAAGTATACACATACACTGTAAATCACAGTCCCCAGTGGAATATTGTACAAATGTAATATTGTAATATCTTATTGCTTGAAAACACATCTGCTTTCATTTTTTACTTGACATCTAACATTAAAGAAACTTAAAATTCTGCTGATGCAAGAAAACTTCTGTGTCGGTGTGTAGAGTTTTTGTGTTTTGGTTGTGTAGAGTTTTTGTGTTTTGGGTGTGTAGAGTTTTTGTGTTTTGGGTGTGTAGAGTTTTTGTGTTTTGGGTGTGTAGAGTTTTTGTGTTTTGGGTGTGTAGAGTTTTTGTGTTTTGGGTGTGTAGAGTTTTTGTGTTTTGGTTGGGTAGAGGTTTTGTGTTTTGGTTGTGTAGAGTTTTTGTGTTTTGGTTGGGTAGAGGTTTTGTGTTTTGGTTGTGTAGAGTTTTTGGTGTGTAGAGTTTTTGGTTGTGTAGAGCTTTTGGTTGTGTAGAGTTTTTGGTTGTTTGGAGTTTTTGGTTGTGTAGAGTTTTTGGTTGTGTAGAGTTTTTGGTTCTATAGTAACCTCCTGTAGTGCTGTTATTATATAGATTTGTTATGCTAGGTCATTCCTTGTTCTTACTATTATTTGTTTCTTAAAGCTATATTCTATACATTTGTTGTTCTAACTACTTTTCTACAGCATTGTTGTTTAAGTGTTGATGTTCTACAGATTCTTTGTCCCAAAGTGTTGATTTTGATAGATTTATTGTTCCAAAGTATTGTTTTTTTCTATAGTTTTGATAAATATCAATATTGTTATGCTGGCCTGAGTATAGCTGTACTACAGATACTTTGTCCCAAAGTGTTGTTTTTGATAGATTTGTTGTTCTTAAGTATTGTTTTTCTACGGTTTTGTTGTTCCTTGATATTGTTTATACTAGAGTATTGCCATTTCATAATTTTGGTATTTTATAATTTTTGTATTTCATAATTTTTGTATTTCATAAATTTTATAATTTTTGTATTTTATAATTTTTTCGTTTTATAAATTTTATAATTTTGGTATTTTATAATTTTGGTATTTTATGATGTTGGTGTTCTATATTGTTTCTATTCTAAAGTATTGTTGCTCGGTGGTATAGAGGATATATGATGGTGTCGTCAATAATTACAAATATATTATCAATGTATTTATTATTTCTATTTATTGCATTTTTTAAACATAAAACATGAAAAATGTAATGCATTAAAAAAGGGTGGGAATCAGAAGCGTAATAATTAGCGCCATATCCTAATGACGTCGTCGTTTTCTGCTGTATTCTGGTAGTATTGCTTATAAAAATGTTATCAATTGTATATTTATGTAAATACTTAAGTGTGTGTACCAAACATTTACCATAACAACCACTTATTCTACCGTCGCTTCAGTTGAATCTGAACAAAAAATCGTTGCCTTTGAATGC